TCAATATTGATTCTTCCAACTCTCACCATGTAGTGTCCTCTATATGATGTATATTGGCTACATCAAGCAGGGGTTTCCACATAAAAACTATGGTATCTCTTATGAGCGTTGCACCCCTATTTATTTATAAGTCCGTGTGCTGGATATCATACAAAGTTATGATGCTAAATTTTATATCTCTTATGTGATATTTAGTTCGTTCATACAATCATACTCCTTTTATCCTAGAATTTGTTGTTCTAAATATCTATCGAGAGCCTCTCCATATCCAGGCTTTTGCCATGACTATCACTCATCACCCCTTTAAACAACCTCTTTAATTAGTTTCAAAATGTGTTGAAATGTATTTATATCAATATAAAAGAAAGACTTCAATAAACATTAGACCCCATTGACCTTCTTAAACTCATAATCTCACCATAAGATGCCAATATTGTTGTTATGATCAGTCTCTTGTTTCCTGATGCTCAAATAAAATTTTAATGAAGATTCCAAGTTTCAATTGCACTGACATTATCTTCAGAGAAAAGATAATATGCTGTTGTGGACAGGTTAGCTTCTGCTTCAGTTTGATTAGTAACCTACTGGTTGAGCAGAAGCAACCATCTAAACTAAATATATGACAACTCAGAGAGGGACTACAAAAAATAGTATGGTGGAATGTGGAATTGATTCAAATTGAAGGGAAAGAGTAGAACAAAAAACTTAGATTTTGATTAGGACGGCTTTCTTACTGCTTCTTAAAGTAATTTTTTAATAAACTTTTTTAACTAAAAAACTGATTTAAGAAGCCGTAAGAAAGCTGTCACATGCAAAGCCTTACTCAAGGCCCAAGCTTTGTTCAGATGGATACTTCAAGTCTTCAACCACTGCTAACATGTTCATTTCCGTTTCACCTGAATAACAAATATTTCTTTGATTATATTTGTTGCTGACAGCGTTTTGTTTTTGACCCACTTCTAGATTTTTGGAGTGTATTGCACACCACTAATTTTGAAAAAAATTATTCTGTGAGGAAGCTGAATGCCATTCGGAGACCAAGTAGAATGATCCATGTCACCCTGTGCTCGGTACTGCTTAGTACAGCTCTGTACCACGACTCGATACTACTAACGTGACACATTTTGGTTGGTCTCTGAACGACGTTCTGCGTCCGGTCTCCGCACAAAATAAATTCTCCTAATTTTGCTAAACAAAATTTATGTGAGAATATTTTGATAAGAATTTGGTTATGATGAGTTTTAACTTTCAAACTTTTGAATTTTCTTTAAAATTAGTGCAAATAAATGTGTATTGATTATTTATATAGTATACTCATGCATTAATGTAAAACTTTTGTAACATAATGAAAAAAACTTTAATATATATTATGATGTTATGAATGTTTTATGTGATATTTTGTAAAGAAGTAGCTAGCTGGTGAAATAAATAGATGAAACTGCCTTTTGTTGCTCTAAGCAATTCTCCAACTTGGACTTCTAAGTTTCAACAACTCTAGCTTGCCAAATATGATACTTTACCATGAAGGAAATAAGATATTTCCAATATGGTCCTTATAAATACCACAAACCCCTTTTCTATCATGATTTTATATTTGTGATTTTGTTACTTTTATGTGGTTTAATTGGTCAATTGGTTTACTAAAAAAAATGTAAATTGAGTGAAAATTCCAAAAATGCTCTTAGAAGGTCACCACTCACTTTAAGGTATGCATAGCTTTTAATTCGCTAAATTATAAGGGTTTTATTGGTTAGAAGTGAGAACAAAAGAAAATTGCAATGAGATCACATAAAATATAGATATTTAATTAAATTACTAGATTAAGGGTTTATTTAAGATGAAAATAATATTTTATAAAATTAGTTGTAAAGTTATTGTAGGAAAAATGCGTCATAAAAGTTTCGTCGGATTTAAGTAAGCCAGCGCAATTTACGTCGGAGATTTCGCTGGTGATTTCCAATGAAAAATGTGCTAGAATATTACAAAAACCAGCGAATAAGGCGACAAAATATGCGCCGGTAAATTAGTGCAGAAAGTACGCTGGAAATGCCGCCATAAACTACCAGCGAAATATCCGCCAGTTCGTCCGCCGCTTTTACCAGGGCATTTAAATCCGTTGGGAAGTCCGACGGTAATAGAAGATTTTCATATAGTGTCTAGTTATTAAAAGCAACTTTTCATTAAAAAACTTCTAGAAAATAGTGAAGAAATAATAGTAAATTAAAATTATAGTTGTTGTCTGAAATACAAAGTAGTAAGAGAGTTGTTTCAAATATATCCTAAAATATGATACTTTGCCTTGAAAGAAAATTTCCTTTTGTCGTAATTTTCCATCGTAAAAATTTTGAAAAGCCATGAAAGAGCTACAAGAAAGCAACTTTTCATTAAAAAAAATTTCGGAAAGGTCATGAAAAAAGCAGTAAGAAAGTAGTAGCCAAATAAAATAATAATTGCTATCCCAAAAGCAAAATAATAAAAAATTTGTCTCAAATAGACCCTAAAACATTAATTTTCTTTCGTTACAAAAAATATATACACTCTAAATACTAAAAGATGAGGGTGCATAAAGAAAAACTTTAGAAGTATTTTATTAATTTATTCAAAGTATAGTCCCATACAATATTAATATACCTCTAATTGGAACCACCTAAATAGAAAATTAATCTTCAGTAGAAAATAAAACTTCAGTAAAGATCAAGTTTCACAAATCTTCAGCACCATATTTTATTTTATTTCTGAACAAATCGCTGGAACCACAAGCTGTAGGAGTACACAGCAGCTAACAACTCTTCTATCATCTTCTAATAATTTGTTTGGAAGCAAAGCAGTCAACAATTTCCTGTAGAGTAGGCTTTATATCTTAAATGTTCTACCCGCAACGTGTTGTTCTAATCAGGGCTGTCAATATCTGATATGACACGAAAATCCGACACGGATCCGATCAAGAAAATCCTGGTTGGACCCTACCCGTTTGAAAAACGGTTCGGGTTCGCAGATTCGATCGACCCGTTTGCCGCCGACGTCCGCTCTCGACCGCGCGGGGTCTCCTTCCCGTGTCGGGTCGGGTCAACCCGACAACTCGCCGGGTTGAGTCCGGATTCGAATATTCGACTCGTTTACCTACCCGGGTCGGGTTAGGGTCGACCCAATTGAACCCGGGTCAGTTCCAAGTTCAACCCGAACCCGACCCATGACCTGAAATTGACACCCCTAGTTCTAATAGTTTTTAATATTGCCAACTTTTTTCAAATGGCTACCACTTAGCTTAGCTTCATTTGGAACAGTTTTAGATCATTATTTTTTTTTTTTTGCTTCTTTCAGTTTTATAAAGTAATAAGAAAGTCATCCCAAACAAAACCTTAGGCTTCATTTAGGACGACTTTTTTAGTACTTTATGAAGCAATTTTTAGTATAAAATTTTTTAAATTAAAAAAAAAATTGTGCTAAAAAACTACTGAAGAAATCAATAAAAGAAGCATCCCAAAGGAAGCCTTAGATTGATAATGATTTTTCTTACATGTTCTTATTTGTTTATCCTTGAAAGTTATGTATTTTGATTTTAATTTATAATAAAAAATGTTGAATGGATTGAGAGTACAACTTCTCTATGAATATACTATTATAAGTAGCTTACCCATCAACAAAATATTATTAAATAAAGTTTGAAATTGTCTTCAAACTATTGCTTTGAACAATGATGCCCACAACCTCAAAGCTTAAATTTGAGCTAAATATTAGCTTATATGTATTGAATACTAAATATATATAAAAAGGCAATATATCAGCACATCACTGCCTTCACCCAAAATTTTCTCCTAAAATCACATGCTTTCTCCTTATAATATCAATAAAATTGAATACATATAATGATAAAAAATTCAACATTAATGACTCCCAAAACATTTGTCAGCATAGATTGATACCTAAAAACATAGATAAATCATAGATATTCATGCTTCATTTGGGATGACTTTCTTAGTGCTTCTTAAATCAACTTTCTAATAATTTTTATACTAGAAAGCTGCTTTAAGAAGCAGTAAAAAATCAGTCTCAAACGAAACATTAATTTGTTTGACATAGAAAAAAAATTATGTCCGAATATCTTTTATCTTGATATAAATTTATTATAATGGCTTAAGATTAAGTCACTAAATTTATTTTAAGATTAGCGTTATAAAGGAAGAGTATGCATTGCACTAATCTTAAAGCAAATTAATAATTTATCTTGATATAATTTATATTAAAATATCATAAAATAAAAATTTTCTCTATTTTTATCCATTTCCCTAATAAATCCAATTTAATCTAATTAATGCTAGCTATTCAACCTTCTTAGGGAAAAAATTACTCAGTACCTCATTCTCATCTTTATAAAGATCATGACAATTATAATACATAATAGATAAGCCACAACTAATTGACATAAAATGATATGACTATCTTTATAAAAAATGGAGAACCTAACAAATTCTTTTTCATAGACCATATTATTTAAATAAAAACAGAAATGTTTGACATATTGAGTAAGCTAATGAAGAGCAGTTGGAGATTAGAGCTGTATTTTCAGTTTTTTATAATCCAACTACTTAAAAAAATATGTCATTTACCCAACTAACCCCTACTTTAATGTCAGCATACCAAGGGCATTTCAGTAATTTCACATAAATGGACTCCCCAACTCTCTGGCAACCATAACTTCCTTCACAATTCAATGATATGAGTGAGTGCTCTCCCTTCTTTCAATAAGCTCAAAAGCCAATGGTAATGGAAGAAAGTCCTTCCTGCAAAAGAGGAGGAGGAGGACTATGGCATGTTATTGAGATGGCAAAGAAGCACAATAAACTCACCATGAGGGGTTCCTCCGGCCTCCGGTGCCGGTTCAACTCCCTCATGGTGGTCATTATCGTCACTTTCATCATCGTTTTTGTCTCCGTCACGACGAAAAACGATGATGGAAGAAACAGGTTTTGGCACGATGCGACGACAGTGTTTCCGGGGGCGGCGCCGGAAGCCGAGACTTGTGATCTCTTTGCAGGGAAATGGGTGTTTGATAACCTGACTTATCCTTTGTATTCAGAGAGGAGGTGTAAGTTCATGTCAGATCAGTCTGCGTGTGAGAAGTTTGGGAGGGAGAATCTCAGGTATCAGAACTGGAGGTGGAAACCACATGGTTGTGATCTTCCAAGGTATAGTGGCTAGCTATGATCTCCTTCTTTCTTTTCTTTGTAGTTAAATGCAATTAACTCTTTCTCCTAGTTGACTTGCAGAGTTAGTTTCAGTGCTTTTGAAAGAAAATTTTATGTTATATAACTTTATTTATGAAAAAAATCTTTATTTTGAGAGTTTAAGGGAATTTGTCTACCTTAATTTTTTATAATTTGAATATCCAATTTATCATGATTTAATCTATACTACAAACATTATAAAAGTTTTATTTTTTGTCAAAATAATAATAATTACATTTCATGAATGATAATAAAACATTACGACATTATTGATTTTTCGGGTGCACTATGGAAAAAATGCAGTTTCTGATCAAATTTTTGGCAGAAATAAAATGATTGGTAACTCTGCCAGATATTCTAGAGAAGTTTTTTTTTTTTTTGGTACATTTAGATCAATTAAGACAAATTCAAACATAAATCACATACGCAAGACTCGAATCCAATGCCTCTTAGTTGATAGCGAGAGCTCCCAACCAATAAACTAAGGAGAGCTATGTTTCAAAGAAATAACCTTAAATTTTTTTCTGAAGAGTTTCCAACAGATTTTCCGACGGATTCATATTGAACGTAAAACGTTCCCTAAGTTTCAACTACTCCACCCATTTGGAGTCATCTTTCATCTTTGAATTTCTTCATAGATCTGAACTCCCAAAATACTTATTATTCCTGTAGTGATGGAAATTTTCTTGATAGGTAGCCTAATGAGAGGGAAGGGAAATATAAAAAATATAGCAGAATGGCAGAATACCTAAATATTATATGGTAGTTTATAATTATGTTGTTCATCACGTGAAGCAACATGGTGTGATTAACTAAAACTTTCTTAAAAAATTGGTATGAGTCAGATGACAACCTTATAATGCTTGTGGAAGAGGAACTTTTATTCTATCCAGTGAACGTACGCAGAGGAAGGTTCAGTTTTAAGCAAAAAAGTGTTTGTACCGAGTTTTTTGAAAAACTCGGTACCCCTCGGTACAGGCGCTTTTTTGCCTAAAATCGAACCTTCCTCTGCGTACGTTCACTGGATAGAATAAAAGTTCGTGGAAGAGAGATGATGGATGATAGATTCACCAACAAAAAAACAAAATTTTGAATTTTGGTAAAGTGGTAACAAATTGATATAATATTGTTCGACATCAAATTTAGATTTCGTTTGGAACAATTTTCTTTCTGCTTCTTAAAAAAAAAATTAGTACAAAATTAAAAATTTTGTATTAGAAAGCTGCTTAAAAGCAAAAAGTTGGGATAACTTTTTTATTGCTTTGTAAAGTAGCTTTTTAAGTACAAAAAATTTTTGAACTAAAAATTTTGTACTAGAAAACTGCTTTAAAAAACACTAAGAAAGCCGCCCCAAATGAAGCTTTAGAATATTTAAAATTTTCCCATCATTATTACACCTCTTCTCATACTTTTACATGAAAAAAAAAATAAAAACCCATAAACATATTATAAAAAGTAAAAAAATAAAACATAAGAAAGCAAACTATTAACATAATTTCAAATTTTATTTTATAAGGAGGAGGTCATCCATCAAGCCTAGGTTTGGCCATCAAACATTATAATAATTCTTCCCATTTTATATGTTTGTGTGTTGCATCAATGTTTCATCACAAATTTTTATTATTTGACCTATTTTTCACTCTCCATAATTGACAAAATTTTGTAGTGATCTGAATATGTTCTAAAAAAACTATTTTATGATGATGATCTTCATCAACATCTTAGGTAGAATTTTTTTTTTGTCATCATATTAACATACAATATTACATAAATTAATCTTAACATTTCATATTTGACACAGAGCAGCTTTAATGCTACAAAACTTTTGGAGAGGCTGAGAGGAAAAAGGCTTGCTTTTGTTGGTGACTCTCTGAATAGGAACCAATGGATCTCCATGGTTTGTCTTCTAGATTCAGTTCTTCCTGATGATCATATGAAATCCATGGAAACAAATGGATCTCTCATTTCCTTCAAGGCCAAGGTACTGTCAACATTTCATGAATTAACTCCTACATAGCAACAAGGTTTAAATGCTCAGAATAGAACCAAATGACCAAAGTTTTATAACTTAACATTGTAGGAGTATAATGCATCAATTGAATTCTATTGGGCTCCATTGTTGGTTGAGTCGAACTCCGATGATCCGGTGCACCATCGTGTTCCCGATAGGATCATACGAGCTCAATCAATTGAGAAGCATGCTAGGCACTGGATGGGAGCTGATATTTTGGTCTTCAACTCTTATCTTTGGTGGAGGAGAGATAAGATGAAGGTCTTGTAAGTATTATCTATAAATTATACTTTAAAAATCTATTAAATATTCAAGTTGGGTCAATTTAATCTTAAAGTATCACATTTCTCCGATTTATTTTATTGGTTATATGAAATTGATAAAAAAAAAATGAACCCTGATGCATAAGTTGTGTGCGCAAAATTGACTACATTCAATCCCTCGATTATATAAAACTAATCCAAATTTAATCTCTAAGAGATCATTTTAGATTACTTTTGTGTAATCAAATGATTAAAATGGACAATTATAAAAGACTTAGGCTTCGTTTGAGGCAACTTTCTTGCTGCTTCTTAAAACAGCTTTTTAGTATAAAAATTTACTAAAAATTATTTTAAAAAGCAGTAAGAAAGCAATCCCAAATGAGGCTTTAAACTAAACTAGCTATATTTAAATAGTCAAAGGATCATTTTGAGATTTAAGCTACATTTAAGATAGCTTTCTTACTGTTTCTTAAAGTAGCTATTTCAAAAATCAGTAAGAAAATCATCCAAAACAAAACCTTAATATTTAATATTCATAATTTCCTCCTTAAATATTGCAAACTCATGCATCAAATGCACACTTCTATTGTCTAACTCAAACATGGGCTAATTGTCTCTTGTATTTAGGTGGGGTTCTTTTGATGACAAGGATTCCATCTACAAAGATATTGAAATTCTCAGAAGTTATGAGATGGCATTCAGGACTTGGGCAGAGTGGCTTGAGTTCCATGTGGATCATACCAAGACCAAGCTCTTCTTTATGAGCATGTCACCCACTCATTTCTGGTAAGCTTATATACCAAAATCCTGAACATTATATACAAACAAAGCACCTGCTATTGCAAAAGCATAAAGAAATTAGATCTGCACAAACTTAGTATAATACATGAAATAAATAGCCACCAACGATCATTTTCAAGCTATTATACAAGCATTTAAGTGAAGAATGCACAGAAGGTAGATAAAGCTTGAGAAGGATCAACACAAAAGGCAAATGAAATAAAAAGGAACATTGTAATCTTCCATATTCTTCTTCCTTTATCATAAACAATGGCGTCAATTGTGTCAGGGGAGATGAGTGGGGAATCGATAGCGGCCAGAATTGTTATAATGAAACTGAACCAATCAGCAAAGAAGGGTATTGGGGAAGAGGATCTGATAAGGAAATGATGCGAGTTGTTGAATCTGCAATTTTTGGCTTGAAAGAAAGAGGTGTGAAAGTTCAGATGCTCAACATTACCCAGCTCTCAGAATATAGGAAAGATGGTCACCCTTCTACTTACAGAAAGCAGTGGGAGCCTCTGACCAAAGAGCAGCTTGCAAATCCTAGTAGTTACGCTGACTGCATTCATTGGTGTTTACCTGGTGTGCCTGATGTATGGAATGAACTCTTGTACACCTACATTCTTTTCAGATGATATTAATTCATCTCTTTATGCCTTCGTTTGGGACGGCTTTCTTATTGCTTCTTAAAGGAGCTTTCTAATTCAAAAATTAAAATTTTTGAACTAAAAAGCAACTTTAAGAAGCAGCAAGAAAGCTATCCCAAACGAAACCTATGTCATTTGCAAAACAACAAGCTTCGAGTAAAATTTTGTCTCTATGGAAGATGGTGCTCAAAGTTCTGGTGTAAACAAAGAGAAAGCCATTTTATTGATGAAACTAGTTTCCATACAGAAGCGATGCTAAGTAAGGCTGTTTCCACAAGCCTTGTTCTTCAAAAAAACAAGTTCACACAACTGTACAATTGCAGTTAAATAAATAGTACTTGTGCTCTACAGAATGGCCTCAAAATAGAAATTTCCAGTGCTACTTTACATGAAAAATTTAACTTTTAAGTTTATTCTTTTATTTTTTTCAAAATAATTCAATCGTGTTTCTTATTTCCTAAATCTTTTGAGGAATATACAATATCTGCAAAGAAAATTTTTACATTTCGTATGGCCGTATTGCTTCCTGTCTGGGTTTATGGGGTTACTCTCGCCATGGTTTGAATGCATACTTTCACGAAGTAGGATTTGAGAGATTCGCTATGAAATAGGTCCTTTAAAGATGAATATACAACCAGCAACTTAGTAACTTATCCAGGAATCCTGCAAATAAATCAGCATGTAATTCAGTATATTTACAACAAAACTATGAGCTATCCTGATTAATAGCAAACGCCTGAATGGAGTATTAGGAACTGAATTACAGAAACTAAGAAAAGACTAGTTGAAAGTTCCAATAGGCTCAGAAGATATGAAACTAAGGCTTCATTTGGGATGATTTTTTTATTGCTTCTTAAAATAAATTTTTAGTGCAAAAATTAAAATTTATATACTAAAAAGCTGTTTTAAGAAGCAGTAAGCAAGCCGTCCCAAACGAAGCCTAAAAAGGTTCCCAGCTGTAAGAAAGAGTGGACTGACTTCTGATTTGAAATAAACAAACATAAATTGATCTTCAGAGGATCATAGATTTTTAAATGTAGTACATAAAAACTTTAACGAACAAGAAAACCATAGGTAATCTATTAATGAATTTATCCTGGCATATACATTTAAGATACTAATTACAGTTTGCCTTTTCAAGGGATGTTATCCAAATTAATAATTGATAGATAGAATGGTACATCTTGCCTTCATGGTGCTAAGCATGAACTTATCGAATGAAACTTTATAACCACAAAAAAAGGATAATTAAAAAAATGTACCCTACCTGCTTCAATCCTAGTTCACCAATCAATATGCTTCATAGATAATCCATAGCCTGCGAGAGTGTTGAATCATCAATTTTCCTCAATACCCTTGCTTTGCCATCTATTATTTCTAGAACCTGACTTCAAGAATGAAAAATATAGTGGGAAATGAACCCCATTAATGAAGCACCTGGGATTATATCAACAATTAATAACAAATAACTAGCAAGATAAAATTGGGACCATAAATCTAGACCCTACTGTCATTGATTTTTGGGAGTTGTTCTTTGGCTTTATTTGATTATAATTCTTTAATTTGTTCAGTGGTCACTTCTTTTTCAGCTGGTTATTTTTGTTCTGATCAAGTAATAATCTCTCTCTCTTGAATTGTACAAGTTATTTAAAAGGCTTCGAAGTGGCATTATTTCTCCATTTATATATAAAAAAAGGTTGCAGGACATAGCACCTCTGGTCTTGAATGAAGTACTCCACTTGACATGCCCACATCAATGCGCCATATTTTTTTATTGTATTTGCTGTAGTGTGGCAGTGAGGATTATGCCAACCAAAGGGACACATTGAGAAGACTAGAAACTAAAAATAAATTGTGGAATGAAATAATCTCAAAAGACAGCACACCTATTTGCACCATTAAACTGTGGAGTGTGACCAACCACCATTCGCTTAGCTCCTACTGCCTGAAGTGTTTCTTCTAGAATAGAAGATATCTGAGAGCAAGATCCAATCCAACATGAGAAAAAACAACTTGCAATAACAAGTTCACTATCAGTACAAATTGCTAAAGAGATAAGAACCTATTAGATCTTTCAGATAGCTTTGGAAATATGCGTACCTTCCAACTCCTGTAATCTATATCCGTAGTATCTCTTGAATATAATCGATTCCAAACGACACTATCATAACCTCTGGTAGCTATAAAAGGAATTTGGGGGCCATCATTGTTTTCATGCAGACCTTGCATCCAGTATGATACTTCTTTATTCATTTTATCTATGCCATATGCCACTGCAAAGAGCTAAAACATTTTAGTGCCAAGGCTTAGACAATATGACAATGATTGTTAACTTCTTTCAACATGTTTCAAAAGCAATTACATAAAGGGAAATTGAATCGATTACAGAGCATGCAAAGTAAGCAGAACAATAACCATTCAACTTCTTTTAGGTTCTACAAGAAAAAACAAGTAAATAAATGCAAGGCCATTTCACACACAAACAACAAAAAACAGTGTATTATTTCCTGAACTTCCTATTCAGGCTATGTTCATTCTAGTTCTGCTGTTTCTTGCATTGCAATCATAACACCAATGAGAATGAATGTTATGTTTATTTGTGTCACACTCTACATTATTAGTAACGAGTATTATGGCTTGTTACAGACCTATTGAATTCCATTCATACTAAATCACCATGCATTATGTATTCATAGTTTCATAGTGTTAGCACAGTTTAAGCATTTTTTTCATGTTCTTGAAAATACTTTCAATATCACAGTTATGATAGGGAATGAACTCATTCCATCGTTACATTCCCAAAAAATGAATAAAGCATAATAAAAAGCAGTTGCAGCATGCTTTACCATGATGAGGAAGTAGGCCTCCATGACAAAACACCCAGTCATCTACTTTCAGTATGACAGCATGGCGTGCTAGTTCACAAGATAATGGACCACCAGGCTTCAGAAGTGACGATCTAGCAACAATACCCTTCTGCCTCTGCCCTAATATTTCCATAAATCTGTCAGTATTATGAGAAAATTTACAATATTCTAAGTACCTAATGTGTAGTATTGAAGTCAAAACCAACGGAGACAACATCTATTGGAATGTACTGATAGTTAAATACAACATTACTAACCCGAAGTTTTGGAATCTAACAAACTGCAAAGTTCAATTTTATTTTACAAAGCTTATTGGCAACTAAAACCATCAGTCATCAAAAAAGTGAAACAATGAAGTGGAATGGTAATAACTGAGTAAAAAAGGAACTGTAAAACACAACTATTATCATTGTAAATTTGTAATATGAAATGCTAAGAGCAGGTAATATAAAACATAAATACTAATAGTGGTGATTTAGAACAATAGATGAAAAGAACAGGTCAGTTCCAGAAAAAGAAACAGAGAAAGTCAGTGAACATATTGATTCTCTAGGTGGCTTGTCACTTCCCCGGTTCACCACTAACCACAAACAAAAAAGCATTTACAAGAGCTCAAGGCAGAATTATTTTTGTTTTAATGAACATGCAAATAGACATCGGGTTACAACAACGCGTATTTGGATTTTGCCGCCATGATAACAGGAATTTGGAAGATATTTATTTGAGTAAAGAATTAATTATTTGCTTGATTAGCTAGCTATTAATAATTTGATTTATTATTTTAATTTGAAAAATCTCGATATAAATGATATTATGCGTTCTCCTAAATAACATTATAATGCAAACATTTAGAGCACCAACGCTCTACAAGATCAACAAAAAGAAAATAATTTATTGTGGGCTCCGAAAATTCGGCCCCGGCCTCCGCTCGCTTTAATATTCTTCGATGGAGAGTTTTAATGGAATTAAGTTCCGGGGTAAATTTTGGGAAGGCAGATGGGCTTGTAGATAAGACACTACCCAGAGATTTCGTCCTCATTTTGCGAGGACTTTATGATCTGAGTTCTTGTTTCCTATATGCGCAAGCTCCTATAATTAATTACCCCTCCCTATAACGAGAGAGAACTTTCGATTAAAGCTAGTCGTCGATCAGTCACATAGAGATATATAGTATCTAGCATAAAGTAGCAGCATGGGCTTAGAATTTGAGGATTTTATATTTAAAATTGGAAATTTCACCATCCTTCACTTAAAGCGGATGGTGGGGGAGTGGATGATGGACCCTACCAAGATCCCATGGTTCCGTCGTCCTGAGCCATCGTGGTCCATGGTCTACTTAGTCATAGGAGGTAGTCGACCCAACCTGATAGAAGGATCCTTATCAGCAGCCATGAGTTGCTTCATCCTAAGAGGCCAAATTTGAATCCACCTTAGTTAACAGAGGGCTTTATGCCCTATCAATCATATCCTATTGATTCATGTCTCAAGAATTTGAAGCAACTAAGGAACGTATTGGCTCTGGTCATAACCGGTACTTAGTGGTGCCATTTGGCGGCAAAAACACTCGGTTGTGACACATAAATAATCTGCCAACAAGCATAGAGAAAAACACTCGGTTGGTCAAATATGAATATTAATCTGCCAACAAGCAATAGGCTGTGAATGTAGTAGTCTCCCTACGACCGTTGATAGCTAGCTTGCAAATAAGTGCAACAGTCCCCTACAAACATTGAAGGTCAAAACATAATGAACGTGGTAAGTTGCCAACGAACAAACATAGAGAAACTGATGGTGAAAGCAGTCCAACAAGCATTCAAAATCAACATGAAAGCAAACGAACTAATTTCCTATAAACACAAGGAAGCCAGCATGCAAGTGAATATAGCAACCTGAAGATCAATGTGCATAGGAAAATTAGCAATAAATACAACTCTACTGGCAGTCAACGTCAACATACAAATGATCACATCAACTTTCCTACAAACAATGAAGCTCCTTAGACATGCACATAGTGCAGCATACGATGAGTGTGAATACTTACTAACAATGATAGGAGATTCGTTCTATGCATAATAATATACCTATGGGCGATGATCAGCGATAAGCGGTGAATGCAATGACACTCTTATAGTCAACAACAATTCAAAGTCAAACAAATACATTGATCCCCTACAAGTAAATGAGGTTGGTATGCAGCAAATGCAAGCATGTACGAGCCGCCGCAAAAAACCTACGTATACCCAATGTGTTATTTGCAAGCAAATACAAAAAGAACTGTGATAAATGCGAGCACCTACAAGCTTCTATAAGAGATTCGTTAGTGCATGATAGTTCGCTTGCAGAAAGAAACAAGCAACAACGCAACACTACAATTCACCTGTAAGCAAAAACAGGGAATTCATAGTAAAAGCTACGGGTTACTGATAAATTGAGGCAGTAAACTGGCAGAGTCAGGCTATTACACCAGATAAATCAGCTCGCTTACAAGCGATAGGTGGGAGGCCCCTGACGTACCACACAACGTACCTTCTAGCAGAAATGCACTCCTGCAAGCTCAATATTAAAGAAAATTACAGCTAACAGAAGACAAAATAAGCTAAATAGAACGACCGATGTTTGACAAATGAAGCTCAACGTGCTGTTAAACCACGTCATCAGATCCGCAACATCCGTACAAGTGGACATAGGGCGTTTATAAGCTTTTAAATAGAATTTTGCAATGAATCATACTCGAACGTTGCAAAAACATCCCCATGCATTGAAATGCATACTAATGCATTCACATCATGCATATACACGTCACAAAATGTAAAATATATCTCGCAAGCACTATTAAGCAGTGCCCAAATGCATATGCCAATATACAAGCATACATATAATTAAATACGTGCATGGCCCCGATGAGCGTGATGTATACACATACATAACATTTGAGGATATTGCGCAGGTCAAGAAATGAACTTAAGTTTAAGCCTGATCCTTCTATGTGAATAGAAATGAGTCAACACAGCTAGAACCGTCAAACAAATATACGCTCGTATCGCCGACCAAGATATTTATTTTATAAGTTCATATTAGGCCTTTGAGGCCTATTACAAGAAAAATTCACTAATAAAGGTATAAAGCCGATGACAAACGCGTTCCTTTGCTGGCAAGTAGACAGAGTTGACAAGGTTTGACCAATGAAGTAAAATTGCTCATAACTACCCTGATGATGGACGTGTTGATAGAAAATTTCAACCAGAGGGGATCCCAAACATTTAAATTACCTCCAAATTACCATAAAATACATTGGATTGACTCTAACGTATTTGTGAATGATATTGATGTTTAAAATGGAAATAAAATACCTAAATACTTAAAGCAAAATACACATCCAACCTTCGCAAGTGTGCCGAGATAGAAAATTTTGAAAATCACTTCAACTCACAAAGAGCGAATGTCTTATTGGGGATGAGTATGAATAAACACCACAATAACGAAACAAGCAAGAAAGTAAAAGCAACGGAAAAAAAAAATGACACCAATATTTAATATGGAAAAACCCAAAATAGGAAAACCACGGAGTCGCACCACACCAAGAAATTCACCATGAAAATGGGGAGAAATAAGAACATATCTCTCTTCTCTCTCACTATATCCCTTCTTCTCTTCTCACATGCACTATTCTCAATGTCAAACCCACCATAACATAAGTGAAAGCCAAGTAAAATAACCCCAAGGACTGCAACCCAAAAAAATAAAAATAAAATCATCCAGTCTGTCTCGCAGCACGGCGCCAGTTTGAAGCACTGCAGTGCTTGAACATTTGTCTTGATTCGCTGCAGCATCGTATCTATGCCGCTGCAGCGCTCTGCTCATTGTCATTCAGCTTTGGGGTGCTCAGGAACACAGCGTCAGGGTGTTGTACAAAATAAAATGGGTGCTTTGCACCCAAACACAAGCAGGAGGTAAACATGTCATGGTTATGACCGGGACCCTCTAACTGGGTGAATTTGCTGTCAAATAACACCATTAAATTACGATCATAGACAGAGCCCGTATGCTCCCCAATGGCTTCAAATTCTTGAGTAATGAATTAATAGGATATGATCGATAGGGCATAAAGCCCTCTGTGACTTCAAATTTATCTCCTTAGATAAATATTCACTCAGGTCTACAAGGTACCCTTGGACGAGCAACCCATGACTTCCGACAAGGATCATTTTGTCAGGTTGGGTCGACCACCTCCTTTGACTAAGTAGATAAGGGAAATAGGATATTTGTTGACCCTCATGTTATACCCAAAGGAGAAGAAGAGAGGAGAGAGCAAACTAGAAATCCCGTGTACATACCTTGCACCCATCGGATCCAGAAACCCTGCCGAAATCCCGCTGGAATCCCGTCAAATTACTGTGCACTCGGCGCCGCTCGCGTCGCTTCCCGCGATCCCTGCAGAAATTCTTCTCTCGATCGCAACCCAGCCCGCGTCTTTAAAATGAGGCAGAAATCACCTCATTCGGACGGCCCCGATACTTCTCTGCTCTGCTCCCTTCACGATCTCCCTCCTCTTCCGAAGCCTCTCCGATCTCTAAATCCCGAAGCCTCTTCCCTGCTTGTGATCCCAGGCCGACGACAACTCTCAGCCAAGGCCTTGCCCTCTCATACGATCGCTCTCTCCCACTGTGCCGTTCAACTTCGCTATTCCGTCGACTCTTCCTTCCTTCTGGATCGGAAGTTACGACATCTTGTTCGGAAGCAGCAACAAGAGCTTGCTGCCGTGAAAGTAACTTTCTCTCTTTCGGGAGCTTGTTTGGCCGGATCCCGAGAGAGAAAGAAAGAGAGAGAGAGAGAGAGAGAGAGAAGGAGAGATCCATACCTCCATACCCGAACTCCCTTCCTCCTCCCTCCTCCCGATCCCGTCAAAACCGCAGAAGCTCCATAGCCGGCACTCCTCTTTCCCTCTTTCTCGTCTCCCTTGCTGCCGACTTCGCCTCCTCCTCCGACGTTCTCTCCCTGTCGGACTAGAAGTTCCGACATTTTGATCTCAAAGCAACGACGGGAGCTCACTGTTGGTGAAGGTAACCAACTCCCTTTCACGCGCCTCTTTGGCCAAATCCCGTAAACTCTCCCGAACCGAGAGAAAGGTAGAGGGTGGGGTTTTTTTTTAATTAATATTATTATTTATTTTTAATTATAATTAATTAGTTTAAATTATAAAATTAGTGATAATTAGTTAAATTTAATTACAGTTAATTATATTAATTATAATTAAAATTTAATTAACCATAATTAGTTAGCTAAGACTAATTATGTTTAATTAAGTGCTAATTATAATTACTAATTATAATTAATTGTAAATTAAGTTTTAAAGCCAAAATTTCGCAGAGAAAATGCCGATGAAGATGGAGATTGATCTGGAGGAGGATGTTGGTTTTTATGAGCAGACAATATTTTCGCAGGTCTCGGAGGAAGCCGATAACCTTGAGAATGCCGACGTCCCGGAAACAAACGCACATGAAGCAGAACACGTAGAACCAGTGGGTTTGGACGAAAAGTTCAGCATCTCGGTAAAGTTCGCCTCCTTCAAGTTTTCGTTGTGCATTTATTGTGTTTAGCAAAGATGCGGTTTTTTATCAACAATGTGCATAATGTAAAATTGTAATTGATTTAAAAAGAATACTCGATGTTCTCTTCTTCTAAAGCATTATTGATCTAGGCTACAATAAGGATTTT